GTATTTGGGGGTAGATTAAAGGCAATATTAAGATATTAGGTATGTAGGGTTTAGGGGGAGATTTCATGATCCAAAGATTAACTTTGTTTTTGGAGTAATTTCCAGTTTAGATCCATGGTGCTGCCAAATTCACTTGCTCTTCTACAAGGATGGTTAAGCCAGAGTCATGTGATGCAGTGTTTCAATTAAGGCCTTGTTATTCTGACTTTGATATCACTAGTATTCTGTATTTTAATGCTCTTTTAATAATTCAGACCTATCTTTTTTTAGGTTGCACATCTTTCATTTACGCATTTTCAGAAGTTTTGAAGGGTTATTAAATTGACTGAATGTCTGATATTCAAACTTGAAGCATGTCTTAATATGTAAATTATATCTGCTAAAAGCATTGTGTAGTCATTATGAGATGTTAACTTTCTTCAATACTTTGTCAGAAAATGACTTTTTAGTTACAAATGTATCTTTACTAATTTTATACTTACTATCCAATTATTAACATCACCAATTCATAATTGCCAGATGTTGTTCTTCACTTCTGTCATTTCCTTGGAGTTCATATTTCCATATATATCATTCCAATGATCTGCAAAAAAGGTTTTCAAATGTAATTTTGACATGTTAAGCTACCAAAGATGCATATTGCTCTCTTAGTTTATTATGTTTAAAAATTTTATTCAGTAATACTTTAATATCACTTCCAAGTAGACTGACTCTCATTTGGCACTCATAATTAGTTTCTAGCATATTATTTTAGAAGTGACATATATTCTCAAAATGAAACAACTGACTGGTCCAGGACAAATTCTTTAAAGGGTATTTTATAGAAAAGAACTAGTTTCTTCAAATACAAACCAATTTCCAAGCAATTTTTGCGTCATCTCATCTCCAAGAATCCTTTTATGGCAATTGGATTAAGAAGGCTATGCCCATTTACCTTTTGATCATTTGCATTGCTTCAGTGTTTTAAGGTAGCAATTTATGGTCAGAGGGGTAACTGTAACATACTCTATAAAATATTTCTAAATATTAATATCTTTATTTAGAAACAACTGATATAATTTTTGACCAAATTTTAGCATAAGATTTAATTATTTAAATTAATATTTCTGAAAAAACTATTCATACCTTTAGAGGGGTAATGATTTTCATTGGTTTAAAGACTTGCTGCAATAGCAAAAGGACAAATATTTTGATGAATATTAAATCAAGTGGGAACACTCTCTTCTGTAATACATGGAAGAAAACTTACAATTATAAAGATATTAGAAACAAGAAAAAGGCAAATACAAAGTTACTATTATGAAATCATGATAAGCCCTTTAGGATGTCACATTTTTAAATATTTTATAGTAACAATAACTAGGCACTTTTATGTTTAAAATTGAGATAAACAAATGTTGAGGTTATCCTATTTTTGTTAACATCTCCGAATGAATTTTATTTTTCTGAACTTTTCTTCTTTTTTTTTTGCTTTTGTTTTTGTTTTCGAGACAGGGTCTCACTCTGTTGCCTGAGTGATCCCCCTGTGTTAGCCTCCGGAATAGCTGGGACCAAAGGCACAAGCTACCATGCCTGACTAAATTTTGTATTTTTTGTACAGACCAGGTTTTGCCGTGTTGCCCAGGCTTGTCTCAAACTCCTAGGCTCAAGCAATCAATCAGTCTGCCTCAGCTTTCCAAAGTGATGAGATTACCAGCATGAGCCACTGCACCCAGCCTATTTTTGCTAACTTTTCTTTGTTGTAGGACAAAAGAATTGCCTTCTTCATAATATTTAGTGAATATCACAAAAAATTATAATTGACAAGTTTTCAGTTGGGTACAATTTTTAAAAAATAATTTCAAAGATGCTTGGTTAATTTATTTTACTATTCAGGAATCAGTATTTTGCAGAAGAGATTTTGCTAAACCACTCATCTATGTTGCTTTTACCTGATTCCTGTATCATAGTGTTATTTGCTTCCCAGAATTGGGCATCATTCATTTTTAGATGTTTCCTTAATGTGTACATTTCTTACTTTATTTTACTTTCCTAAATATCACAGACTGCTAAAAAATAAAAGGTTGAGCTTACAAAGTATTTTATGAGATAAGTAAACCTAAACAATGATCAAATAATATCATTTAATTAAATATACTGAATGAATTTAGAACAAGTTGTGTTTATAAATGTCACTATATACCTCAGTATTCATTTTAGAATTAAGAAAATTCAGTCCTTTTGAGAGACCTTTTGGGAGTTTGCAGAAGTTCTCCACTAAACCATTTGGGTACAAGTAGTTGTGTGAAACATGAAAGGACAAACCCTCAGACCAGGACAACCCTGGGTAGATAGAAAAAGTACCAGGAGAAGGCGGTGATGTAACGTAAGTTTAGGTAAACTCACCTATGAGGCAGACAAAAATTCCTTTCAAAATACTGAGCTTGCTTTTTTCATATTGTATTTTGCAATACATAGGAGAATGTTTATTTTTCAGACCGATAACCTTTTTAAAAAGGAACTCAGGAGAAGGGATTCTTAGTACTCGTGCTCTTCCACTGTCTCACAGTTCCCTTTCCCACCCCCCACCCACATCTGCCAAGAGGTTTAAAAAATAGCTGGAGAAGGAACTTGAGCAAAAGCATTTGTTCATTATTGGCCATCACAAAAACACGTACACACAGAATGTATTGACATACATATTAACTAATTAGTGGATTTGAAGCTGAAGATTTCAGCTATTTCATGGTAATTTTCAAACTTCATTGTTTGATAAAATAGGTTCTTACCATTTCTGAAATTGTCACATATCTAATTTAGGAAGTATTCTTTCAATTATATGACTGTACCTCTAGAATATAATTCAGTAAGGACAGATAAGTACTTTAAAATATTCATATGATTATATTGAATTAATATCCTAGTCCCTGTGAAGAAAAGATATATAACTACAATCTCAGTTGAAAAAATACCACAGTTAAATGATTATGACAGTACTAGATATTTAGCCGTGTTCCCAAGATGATTGAAATTTTATTATCTTTGGTGTTTATTTTTACATTCCTTAGCAATCCATTGGCAATAAATAGAAAAAAAAATCCTCCACGTTAACAAAAAGGAATTTAAAAAGAGTGGAATTATGTTCTAGTGTTCTATTTTAAAATGACATCGCACATACCAGGCACACTCCATTTCTTAATGTTCCAAAGAAATCTTGTGCTAATTTTTCCAGAAGTCTCTCCAACCAGTTTTCACACATACACACACACACACACACACACACACACACACACACACACTCATTAAATTGGAATGATGCAGTTGGGACATGAGCTAAATTTGTCTGATGGATCAAAATAGCAAATCCAGTCTGCAAATATCTCCGTACATAATGCACATATATGAAAGCATTTTGTGTAACTAGGGTCTTTTCAATCCATTTTCATTGAGAATGTTTGAATTGCATTGCAATAGGCCTCATTATTTTCCTCTGACTACAGTTTTTCTGTGACTTATTTGTGAATAGATGCATGTATGGTGGTTGGTGTGTTTGTGTGTGACTCAAACTTAAGCAAATATTTTTTTACATTTCCCATCTTTAGTAAAAACCATGTGCATTTATTGGGTTAGCCAGGTTGGTGTAGTCTGCTGTCAAAAATTACCGACCCAGAGCAAACCAAAAACCAACAGTCCTATGAAATTTGCAACTTATCTTCCTTTTCTGTCACAAATCTTATTTATCTTTTGTTTCTACTTTGCTTTTTCTCCCTCTTCATTTCCTGCCTGCCAACTGATACCTTTTTATAGCTCTGCATGATAAGGGATATTGGAAGTGGTATTATTATTCATTGAATCAGTAACTGCTTATTCTCCCACCACCACTGTGTGGTATATCCTGTTTAAATACATTGGACTTTGGGAGTATTTTAATTTTTTTTTCTGTTGAAATGTATTTCTTCAGTAATGCTTTTGCAAAGGCTTAAAATATTTTTTCGCATAAACCTACTGAATTTTTCAACTCTAGCTTCTCTGAGTCAGTTGTCCTAATTTAATTTAGACTCGGTTGGCAAAACATGCTGAGGAGAAAAAGGAGACTGGATTTATGGTAGCCATTATAAAATAAAACATGAACATATATATGGGGCTTTAACATGGGCTTTCACAAAAGACCTCAATAAACCACTTCATCCATAGTCTCTGTTTCCTGCCATGCCAAGTAGTGGATATTCCCTAGTTTGTTTATTAATTTATTCTCTCTTAATTCTTCTTCACAAAGGAGAGGAATAATTAGAAATCATAAAGAAAATATAGATACTAGGTATAATACTTATAATATTGTCTTGCATTCTAAATCTTTACTGAAGAATCCTTATGTCTATCTACACAATTTGATTATTTAAATGATAAATATTTCTTCAGTTTGTGTGACCAAATTCTTCCTTGTAGTTTCACTGCTGAAACTCATATTTTGAAAAAAAAATTCTGAAAAAAATATTATGTAATAATTCATTTTGTTTCTTTATTGAAATAAAGAATTAGCAGTCATAGCTTCTAATTAGTATGTGGTTACCAAGATTACTGTAAGGAATTGAGATGTTTAAAGGCCAGAGCAAAACAACAGATCAAATTATCCCTTGAAACTCTTTCAAGAATAAATGACAGGTTTCCATGTGGTAATTTTTGTCTAGTAGACTAAAATCCCTGGGACAGGAAGTATGTTCTGCGATATCAGTTAGAGAGTGTTTTTTATAATGATTGAAACATTAAGCTCCTTTCAAACCCTTAGCTTATTACATTATAATGAGATTTGTCTTAGAATTAGACAGGGATAGATTTCCCTTAATATAATTAAGCACCATGTAAATGATGCAATAGGTTTAGGAACGGAGATAATTTTTCTTTAATTATTATTGATGTATTTAATCATCATAATGATTAAATAAAATATTGATTAAAAAAAGGAACATATGCATATATTCCTTTTGGAAAACAATAATATTCTTATAAAATTATAGTTGAAATTGAAAATAATTCTTTTTTCTTTTCCTTTTCTGTGATCAGAACAGTGGCTAATTACTTAAATATTTTTTCCCTCAGGTATATTGGGATGTAGAAAAACTTATAGTTTAGGGCATCAGCTTAGTTGTAGGAGGAGGCTAAGACTTTGCTACCTTAGCACCAAAGGGTTAATGCCATACCCTAAATTTTAGTTTTCCTTATGTGAAATGAGATAATAATATACTTCTGAGGTGTCATAGGATTAAATATGTGTAAGCTTCATAGGAAAGTGCTTGGCAAATGGTTGGTACCTGAGAAAACCTTAGCAGTACTTATTCTGAAATGAAATAAAAATTATTGCTAATTTTTAAACGATTTATCATATTCTTGTGTGGTACAGGGAAAACCACACAATACATTGACCATTCATTATATAGTTTGGAGCTGGATTGCATGCAGAATCATTTGAGAAGTTCGACAGTGTTGGTTTTGAGTCACTTACCTCTAGCCAAGAAGTGATTTCTGCAGACCTTGTGCAAAGAAATCATTGGTAAAAAGGACCACATTAGATGATGCTTAGGAACCTAAAAGTTGTTCAGAATACTGGCCTCTCTAACAGGAGAGCTCCTCCTCACATCCTAAGAGACTTAGGAAGCCAGTTTACTAGACTTAAGATGTGTGTGTGTGCGTGCGTGTGTGTGTGTGTGTGTGTGTATGTGTGTGTGTGTTTGAGACAGAATCTTGCTTTATCCCCTAGGCTGGAGTGCAGTGACACTATCTTGGCTCATTGCTACCTCCACCTCCCACACCCAGCTAATTTTTTATTTTTAATAGAGATCAGGTTTTACCATGTTGGCCAGGCTGGTCTCAAACTCATGACCTCAGAAGATCTCCTTCAGCCTCCCAAAGTGCTGAGATTACGTCATGCATGAGCCACCGAACCTGACTAGGCTTGATATTATGAGTGTAAGATTTGAATAATGCAATGGTTAGGACATCTCTTAAAGTCAAACTTTCATATGACCTAGTTTCCAAAGAGGTGGAAACTTTTATGTACACTACTAGTTTAGGATTATGAAGAGGTATTAGAATTTTATTTTCTATGGCTTCAAAACATGCCTCTGTTTGTACTATTGTCTTGTAAAAAGGAAAAGGAAAGGAAGAGAGGAAAAGACAGGTGTGTGTGTGTGTGTGTACTCATGAGAGAGGGGCAAGGACACATATTCAAGACTAATTTGATAAACACTGTAATAGAGCAGTATATCATGTACTATGGGAATACAAAGAATGAAATGTACTACCTTGGAAAGGTCAGGAAATAGTTTACTCATGAATAAATATTTGAAGTGGATTATGAACAGGAGTTTTTAAGACACACCATGCAGGGATTGCAACAAAGAGAAAAAGGCACAAATGCAGGAGGCAGCTTGGTACATTGTGGTTATAATGTGTTTCAACGTGGATTAAGGTGTGTGTGTGTGTACATGCACACTCTTGCACAAGTGTATGTGCCTATGTTGTGAAAGAGAATTGTGTTTTAGGTAATACGACTGCTGGATACAGAGACAGTTTCTTTCTTAAATGACTTAAGTTTATCCTGTAGGTAATGGAGAATGATGCAACAATTTTAAGCAAAGAGCACATGATAGGATTTACATGATGGAAAATGACTGCATCATCAGTATGAAGGATGTTAGGAAAGGAAACCACTGGTAACAGTCAATAGGAATAGTCCAGGCAAAAAGTGAATGGGATTCAGAGCAAGGCAGTATTAGTGGAGATAGTGAAGGGGAATTAGTTATTGGTGCAGTGGGCTAGCAGGAGTGAGGAGGATTGGGGACTGGGGGTGGGGCACCTGAGTTCCAGCTTGCAAGGTCTCTCAGATATGGGGTACAGGATATTTATGTTTGTGCTTTTCTTGTTTCATACATATGTATTATACATAAATGTTATACATGTATAATATTCACATGTATTTAAAAACAGGTATCCCTCTGGCTTTCCTTTCTTTTGAACAAAGGAAATGACATAAATAATTTCTCAATAGCAAAGAAACAATGGTCTTTTGTAATAGGAAGAATAATGGCTGCCCAAGGTCTTTACATGCTATCCTCAGAACAGCGAAATATGCTGTGTTACATGACAAAGGGTCATTAAGGCAGCAGAAGGAATTACAGTTGCTAATTAGCTGACTATAGAATGGGAAGATTACTCTGAATTACGTTGGAGAAGGCTTTCACTGTAATTGCAGGTGGTCCTTAAATGAGGACAAGAAAGGCAAAAGAGTCAAATTCAGAGTGGTGAGATGTTAGAAGGACAACTGGTCCTTTGAAGATGGAAGCAGGCCATGAGTGACGGACTAAAGGCAGCCTTTGGGAGGTGGAGAGGCAAGGAAATGGATTCTAGCCTAGAATCCCCAGGAAAGAATGCAGCCTGGCCAGCACCTTCATTTTAGCCCAGTGAGATATGTTTCAGGTTTTTGATTTACAGAACTGTACAATGATCTATTTTTTGTAACAAATAAGTTTGTGGTAATTTGTTATAGCCATAACAAGAAATTAATTCACCCTGGAACATGAATGAGCCTTATGACTGTATCTTTTTTTCTGCCATCTTGTGCTCACTTACTTACGTGAAGTTTGCAACTGATAGATGAATACAAAATTATCATCCATAACTTTTCCAAGGAAGTGTTACCTTTGAATTTTAGTATTTTCTGGTAGAAAAAATAGTCTCAGAAAGAAAAAAGAAGCAACATACAATGAAACAAAGTACAGATCAAAGAATTAGCTACGAAGATTCTGTTTTGAAATTTGTACCACTTAATGTGCATTCTAATTGCTGAAATGATAGCAGAATTTAATAGCATGCAAGATCTTGGCTTCTGATTGGTTTGTTTCTTGACCACTGATGATATCGTAGGTTAAAAATGGATCTTAAATTGACAAAAAAATCAGTATTGAGATACTTTTTATTTGCCTGTACCATTTAACAATTTATTTGCAGTATGTACATTTAATGAACATAGACATTATGATGTAAATGAGGAGTATATCTGTGACTTTTAATTTCTCCAACAATGCTTACCTTATACTTAGTATTGGCTCAATAATATAGCCTTATGAAGTATAATTACATTTATTCAGTGTTTTAATTATATTCGTTTAACAAATAGTGAACTGGTTTCTAAGATAAGTGATTTTGAGTGCTTAGAACATTCTTATTTAAGTGGATAAATAATTCTTTGCACTTTTAAATCTCCTTTTTGTGATGATTTTTGCCCATGATATTGAAGTACATACAATTATCATTTAGTTTTGGGGTATCTTAGGAGCTTCATCATGTTCATCATGTTTGTGTGCCCAGTGATTATTAGGAAGTCTTATTGAATGACATAATTTAAAGAAACATTGGAATGTTTGAGAAGAAGAACCAAGGAGCCAGAATACCTGGTTAAATTTGGTTCTGCTACTTGCTAACCAAGTAATTCTGGGAAAGTTCCTCATCTATCTATGCACCAGGGCTTTTTCTTGTATATTAAGTGGGGATAATAATAATGCCTATTTCACAGGGATATTGAAAGGATTAAACGAGTTAATACATGTAAAGTAGTCAGAACAGTGATTGGCTCCCAATAGGTGCTAACTAATGTTAGCTTTAATTATTTACCTAAGCAACATATGATATTGAAAACAAGCCGGGCTTACATTTAAAGTTGTCATGATATGTAGCATAATAATGCCATACATATTCACATTCCCATAACATACAGGCACACACACACACACTCTCACACACGCACTTTCACATCCAACACGCATTTTATGGGTCAGAAATGAAGACAAAATGACATGATAAAATATCTACTTTTTATTTATGTGTCTCCAGCTGCCTGCCTAGTGCCATGCGTGCCAATGATAAAGGGTTCCTTCAGTGAAAAGATTTGGAAGAGAGATATATTGTTGTCTCACAGTGTTTTACAACTCAGGTAAAGGCACAGAGAAGCCTATCCCTACTTTGTTTAATTTTTCAGCTGGCCAACATGTATACGAATATGAAAGAAGATTCGGGGTAAAATTAAACTAAAACTTCATGTTTCCTTTTGAGCCAAGAGCTCTGAATTCAAATAATAAAATAGCACTTTTAGTATGTTTTGCTTAAGAAATATACAGAGGAGACACTGAAACAACAAGTGGCTTGCGTTTTAATAGAAATGAAATAAAGAAGGCTGTTAAAATATTTGTATTTGTTTCTTCAGTGCATTTTACATAATTCAGGTTTTTTTTTTTTTTTTTTGAGATGGAGTTTTGCTCCTGTTGCCCAAGCTGGAGTGCAATGGCATGATCTTGGCTCACTGCAACCTCTACCTCCCAGGTTCAAGTGATTCTCCTGCCTCAGCCTCTCAAATACCTGGGATTATAGGCACCTGCCACCATGCCCCACTAAGTTTTTGTATTTTTAGTAGAAATGGGGTTTCACCATGTTGACCAGGCTGGTCTCGAACTCCTGACCTCAAGTAATCTGCCCGCCTTGGCCTCCCAATGTGCTGGGATTACAGGGGTGAGCCACCATGCCCTGCCATAACTCAGATTTTTTAAATGGGTTTTAGTGATTTTAACAGATCTGTTCTGTGTTTGTTGGATTCTTTGTTTTGCTTGGAAAAAAGAAACAAGGAGACCTGGGAATATTCTTTTACATGATGCAGCAAGACCTAGATCCTTACTGTATTTTCCTGTCACTACTAACACCCTGGATCTGTCTCAAAATTATAATACTTACATGGCTTTTGAAAAAAAAAAAAACACATGTAAAAGATAGTATGTTCAAATCACATCTTAAGTGCCTTATAAATATTAACTTAGTAAATTTTCATAAAAACTTCATGAGGTAGGCATTTCAAGCATTCCCATTTTAGAGAAGATAAACTAAGGCACCAAGAGGTGAAACAATTTTCCCAAGTTGGCACAGCTGCCAAGTACTAGAGTTGGATTTGAATCCAGGTGACCTTATATCCTACCTCCTTAACTACAAGAGATGGTGTTTCTTCTCTATACAAGAAACTCAATGGTGTTCCCATTATTCTATTGTTTTTAATTTGCTCAGTTTAATTTCTATGTATGCTGCAACCTTAGAATGAATTTGGATTACCACTATTATTGATTGAATTAGATGGAAAAATAACTTCTTGAACATATATAATGATGAAACAATACAGCATGGATTCATAAAGGAATGACAAAAGAATATGGCACTCTTTTATTTTACAAACCTTACATAAAAATTCAATAGTTAAAATTTTCTTGCTGGGTGATAAAATTTGACGTTTATAAAATGACTTACTTAGATTTGAAGGTATTGCTTTAATGATATGTCAATAACTGTAACAAGCATAAATTTGTTTTGTGAATTAATGTTAACTCAAAGATTTTCAAACAATGTTTAATATTTACAATTTCTTATTTATCAGAGAAATATTATTTGTTACAGCTGCAGAATTGGACAAAATTTAGATTTAGCTTATCTGTCTGAGCCAAAAAGATCTTTGCATTTTATAAAAGAGAAAAATTCTTGAGTGAAAAGCGGACATGACTTTGGCATAAAGATGGGTTATTTGAACAGAGGGATTGATATAGAATGAAAGACAGTCAAATTGTTTAAAAGTCACAGTAGTGTTTTGGAAATCCTTTAACATATTGGTTAAAGAATGCATGCAAAGTTGTGCTATCCACATTGGGTTTTAAGCTACCTCTGCAACCTTGGCCAAGTTACTTAATTTCTTTGTGTCTGTTTACAAATTGTTAAAGTGAGCCCAGTAATATTACCTACCTTACAGAATCATTGTGAGAATCAAATGATGGCAGATCCTGTAACATACTACATCCTCAATAAAAGTTAGATTATATTGTGATGGTGATGGCAGTGTGAGAAGAAGAAGAGGGCTTTACTGAATTATGATCTAAATGTGCCAAATAGCAGGTAAGACAAAGCAGCATTATATGAATGAAATACTACTCCAAATGCTGCTGCTATACACGGTTCTCTCAGAGAGAATATATGATGACTAAATAAAATTGGCCAGGCATGGTGGCTCACGCCTGTAATCCCAACACTTTGGGTGGTTGAGGTGGGCGGACCATGAGGTAAGGAGTTTGAGACCATCCTGGCCAATGCGGTGAAACCCTGTCTCTACTAAGAATACAAAGAAGTTAGCTGGCCATGGCGGCATGCACCTGTAGTCCCAGCAACTAGGGAGACTGAGAGAGGAGAATCACTTGAACCTGGGAGATGGAGGTTGTAGTGAGCCAAGATCCTGCCACTGCACTCTAGCCTGGGCGACAGAGCATGACTCCGTCTCAAACAAACAAACAAACAAACAAACAAAAAGTGTCATTTCATGTAAATAGCAATATGTGTGGTAAAGCCATTGTGTTAGTTTCCTAGGGCTGCAGTAACAAAATTCCACAGATTGGATATCTTAATAGAGATTGATTTCTCACAGTTCAGGAGGGTCCCAGTCCAAGATCAAGGTGTTGGCAGGTTTGGTCTCTTCTGAGTACCCCCTTCCTGCCTTACGAATGGCCACCTTCTTGCCTCGTACTCACATGATCTTTTCTCTGTGCACAAGTCCTGTGGTTTGCGTGTTTGTCCCTTCCAAAACTCATGCTGAAACTTACTTGTCATTGTAACAGTATTAAGAGGTGGGACCTTTAAGAGATGGCTAGGTCCTGAGGGATTCACTCTCAC